GCCTGATGGATAGAGCTTCATCAGAGCTCATCTACAGTCATGACAAATTTCATGTTGATTGGTGCAGCCGTTTTTGTGCTACGGTTGACCAAATATCTCCGGAGGGGGAAAAATAAAAAAATAAATAAACAGTGCAAAAACTATATGACTCCTGCTTACGCTTGGCGTGCGGGGGTCATAATAAATGTGTAATCCTGCAGCCAGGAGGAGAACATGTATCATCTCACTTTATTTTGCCCAAATTCTGTGTAAAATTTAAAATTACAGTTATTTACAACAAACTATGAATATCTGAAAATATCAGTCCAGGGTATCTGCAGGTTTTACCAAGTCAAGTTTAAGACTTCTGCTCTACCTTAAATGAAATTTAATACTAAAAAAATACTAAATAAACAAATAAATACATATATGTGATGTTTGGAGATTTCTGCTGTATTACAACCAAGCATCTTGTTTCACTCAATGAAACGTGTTGAATATAAAGATATTCAGTTTTTTTTGTAGACAAACAAGTCCTGACAGACTGACCTGAGCCAACACAAGGGCTGTAACTGAGTCACAGCTAAAGTTTGGTGTGTAGTGGCTGAGAGTCATCCTGAAAACACAACCTAAGCTCCAACACGTCTCATATATGAGTTTAGGTCAGAACGGCTACAACTCCATTATTTCTTCACATACTGTAGATAAAGTTAGCTGAAGACTCGGGTATGAAAGGTGACCTTACTTAAAGAGAAGGATGCTCATTTGTAAATGATAAAAATACTTTAGTCACATCAGAAGTGTCTGAATCCAAACATTTGATCAAATCCAGTTTTAGTTCAAGCAGACGAACAGACAGCTCCTCACCTGCTCTTCAGCTCGGGACACCCAAGTTTGGATCAGCAGCTCCAGTCTGGACTTGTGGTACTTCTTGGTGGTCTTCACTGCAATAAAAATGTCCTTCAGTGTTAACTGGTCTGGAGGCCTGGACTGTGAACTTGACCCACCAAGTGTCTCAGAACTTTTTAAGTCTTCATCCCTGTGGGGACTGGGGTCTCGCCTCGTGTCTTTGGTTTTAATATGTTTTCTATGAGTTTCTTTGAGCCCAGAGTCTGAAGCTGCACCACCAGCACCAACAGGTTCTGGGTCCTCAGCATGGTGCGCCTGCTTCACTGGGGCAGGTCTGACCTGGGGTCGGGGCTGAGGCAGGTCCAGGAGCTGGGCCGGAGGCTGGAAAGCTGGGATGAGCAGGAGGAGCAGGGAGCAGAATCCCAGGAAGAACACAAAGCAGGACTTGCTGAAACCCACTGAAGAGATCTTCATCCTGATGGGACGAAGACGAAGGTCCTCAGCCTCCAGGGCTGTGGTCCCTCTCTGCTCCTCCACCACACAGTCCCCTCATCATCCCATCACACAGGATCCTGCAGGGGAGGACCACAAGTTTACTCAAGATGAGATAAAACTTTATTGATCCCACCGTGGGTAAATTTGCACATTACTTCACCTCAATACAGGAGAGGGTGAGAAGAATAATGTACATATACCAGTGCACATATACTCATATATATATACACATATACATATACATGTATATACATATACTGTATAGTACAGTAAATAAATATATGTTCATGAAGGTGCATATTACTGATGCCAGTGTAGGTGAATTATCCAAGTGACTGATGACATCATGATGTGTTATACAGTCTAACTGATGACATCATGATGTGTTAT